ACGCAATTCTGTCGGTAAAAATGTTCAGTGGCTGGACGAAGGAGTAGAATCAGAACGTGGACAAAATTCACGCGAACAATCTTCTGTAGATAAACAGAGGAAAATCTATAGGATTTCCTAAGTTTAAAATCTCGTACTTTCGTAGGCATAAAAGCATCTAATTGCCCCAACACCTAAACAAATCCAAATAAAACGAATGGAACCTCTACTTTAACTACAAAAATATCCTTTCCTACTTGTGTTGAATTTTCGAAGTTTGTTCAAAAATTTATATTCTGGCCAATTGACAAATATATGCTTCGTACTGTGGGCTGTTTTGAGAAAGTTTCGAAACTCGTTATAGCCTGAAAATACGATGAATTTCATATAACCGAGGGAAGGAACGTCGAACAAAGACCAGAAGAGACGCGATCGTAATGAAACGTTCAATCAACGGGACGCATGATTCACGGGTTGGTTTCGTTTTTAACGCTAAATTTTCGCAGAAATGAGGCTCAAAGTGATTCTCTGAATCGAACTCGAGAACGGGAGTAAATTAATGACAGGCTGTACGCTGGACGTCTGATTAATCGAAAGTTTGCCGGTGAGGATTTACGTAAACTTAGTTACGCGAAAATCGTTCTGTATTGTTTCTTTCCTCCTCGCCGGCATAATCTCTATTTTTGACGACGAATAACGAACAAGTTCCACGTCAAACTTATCATCCATCTTTGTACGATCTTTTATTAAGTAGTGCCGTTTAAAACCACGTACGAACGTTAATAGACTTTTTTTTGTGACAACCAGTGGATCATTATACGACTTACGAAATCAGCTTTTGAACAGCTTTTAAAGCTACTTGTAAACGTAGGAGATCTCTCAGGAATCAAACAGTTGAGTATCGCTATCAAAGACCATGCAATTCATGTTCATTAACATAGTTCCCAAGATGAGAGGAAGTCCCAGATAAAATCCTCCCTTTCAGAGATTTCATCGACCGCCGAACGAGTCAATGTTCACATTTGCAGATCTAATAATACATACTATTCTTCCGGTAGAGCGCGTAAATTCTTACTATTTGAACATGTAAGTAACATACTTTTGACCTTCGTGTAATTTAATGAAGAAAATAGGATAGATCACTTACACTGATTTTATCATTCATGATCTACAAATTAATAATTTTTAATTTAAATCTAGATATTTAGATATGTCTGTATTGGGAGGTGGGAATAGCTCAGTCGGTAAAGTATCAGACTCTTAATCTGAGGGTTCCAGAGTTCTGGTGAAAAAAAAAAAAAAAAAAA